TTTGCCCTGTGAAATCGAGGGTAGTACAGACCAAAAGCTGGAGGAACACCCTGGACCCCTTTCCTGAATTCTCCCCCACCCCACTGCCCAGATTCTCCACCTGGGACTCTCAAGGGCCTCGTAAACCTGTCAATCTTGGCTCCTTTGCTTTTCTAACCAGCCAATTTGTTGTATAAAACCCCAGCTACAGTGTTGTCTGTACCATCACCACAGCTCGTCCTGTAGCTCTGCAGGCTCCCCTCTGCCTTCTTTCTCTCCTTGAGTTGTTTGCTCACCATTGTGAAGAAGGAGCCCATCTCTTCTTCGTTACTTTCATAGTGTTCCATATGTGGTAGGGCAATGGACTTACAAATGATACTTTCTGTAGTGTATAAACCTTTCCTCTACTCTCAAATGTATTAATTACATGAGGAGTTGAAAAGTTCAGTTGAGGCACTCACAGATGAACAGATATGATATTCCAGCACTGGGGTGCAAGTTCTTGGGCTTGGGTTTCAAATAGACAGTCCCTTATGGGGATAAGAATCCTCATGCCTAGACTCTGGGGAAGGACATAAGAGACCATCAGGAAGGGGGATGAATTAATAAGCTCCTGAGCTTCAGCTCCAAATTTATCCCTCCATGCTTGACTGTGTGACTCGAGATGGTTGGAGACACTAAATCCCATTGTCCTTTGGGGGACTCTCTAGTCAGTTTTGTCCCATGGTTTTGCCATGGAGATGGGGAGAGAGGTCTGGTCTACTGCTCCTGTGGACAGGTGACATTATTGTCCCCCGAAGGGCCAGATGAGCAGAACTTTCTTTGCATGTAGGGGCTCCCCATCTCACAGCAGCATTCCTTCTCATTCTCTGTTTTTGGAAGTCATAATCGTAGCCCATGCACCCATTCTTCAAGCCCCAACCAAGTCCCTGGGCTCTAATACTCCATATGTTCCTTACCCATCTTTGTCCTTTGTCCCCCACACCTAGGGCTGAGCACATATTCTTGATGCTGTAGAAAGCCAGTTCCTTTCTGCTTTCAAACCAGCATTCTCTAATTTCAACCCCACCCCCAAACAGTATGTTTCTGTATTCTAGCTGAATTTCATTGCTATATTCTTGCATCAAGAGACCTTCAAGGAGCTGGAGAGATGACTCAGTGGTTAAGTGCACTGGCTGCCCTTTCAGGGGGCCCAGGTTCAGTTCCCAGCACCTACATGGCAGCTAATAACCATCTCTAACTCCACTTATAGGAGATCAAATGCCCTCTTCTGGATTCTGTGAGCACTGCATAACATAGGTGCACTAACATACATGCAGGCAAAACATTTGTATGCATAAAATAATAAATAATAAACAAAATATGTTTAAAAGGGAACTTCAGGGTGTGAAGAGATTTTGAAGACCACAAGAGTATTTCAAGAAAGGCGTGCTTTACAGACATGCTGTGCTGCATATGGACTTCAGCTTAGCTGGATTAGAGGAACCGCTCTCCTTTCTAGTCTCTCCTCCTGAATTCCAACACTGCAGGGTGAAATTTGTAGGCAGAAGTGGCAGGAAGCAGCTTTAGGTAGAAAACAATGAAGAAGCCACCAAAGTTTCTCAGGGTCTGGTTATGGGAGGGGAGGGCATCCATCATAGTCACACTGTGGGCTGTGTGTGAAGCTTGCTGGATCTGTGAACGGGACACATACCATTATCTACTGTTTTTGTGATATGATTGCAAGAAACCTGATACACACACACACACACCTGCATGCATACACACACTATGTAAAGAGACTTGCTTTAATTTCATGTAGAAACAGAAGGAAAACTAGCCCACCAAGCAGGTTGATAGGGTCAGGCTGGACATGTAGACCAGTCAATGAAGTGTCAGTAAGAGAAACAGCTTTTGTAGGCCAGCCTGTGGCTTTATAGGTGCCTGTAAGAACACATCTCAAGGAGACTGTTCTGCTTGGCTCAGTGCCTGCTCACGGTCCTCCCAGGGACCAGGAACTCAGAGTAGAAAATTTAAGCTTAGCTGCATTTGGTGTCTGCTCTGGAACCTGGAAACTGGAGGTTTGACAGTTTCCTGTTCATTCCTAGCTACTGACATAAGAACATCTATGAGGTAGTTAATACACAGTCTGTAAGTGCCAAAAAAAAAAAGAAATCTAAGTGGCTTGTCAAAAGTCACAAGAGAGACAGGGAAGCAAGATCATTCTTTGCTCTGTGGGGGTCCTGTGGGTGCAACTCAGGAAAGGTGGAAAAGGTGGGGGACCCTGAGCTTGTTCTGAGGACTGTCCAGGAACAAGAGAAGCCAAGGGGAGAAGGAAGTGGTACCTAGAATCAAGGGACCGGGAGGCTGCACTATAGGTTCCCAGCCCAAGTGATGTCTTGGGTCCCAGTCTCACACAGCAAGTGGGCTGGAAATGAGTGTGTGAGGCCAGGGCAGGTGCTCAGAGATCGAGCCACCTCCCTGTAGGCCAGGACAGAGTGAGGTGCATGAAATGCCACCTGTCCCTTGCAGGGCTGTCACCCTGGGGCTGGGGCCATCAAGCAGCTCCCAGCCCCCGCTGGTTCTGGAATCCTGAGTTTCTGGCGCCTCTCGGCCCGGCCCTCTCCGGAACTGTTTTGCTCTTCTGACTCTGAAGGCCTTATTGATTGCTCAAAGTGAACTCTCAGCCCACGGCTTCCTCCACCCCTGGGCAGCTTGCATTTCCTCTGACGTGGTCTGTGTGTCTTCTCCCTTCCCCCAGAGCACTGGGCTTTTTACATTTCAAATACTTGACAGCTGGGTGAACTTCTGCTTCCGCCCAAAGAAGGACTCTTTGCAGTTCACAATGGCCAACCAGTGGCACTGGGGCGACCGCAGCTCCAGCTGTGAGAGAGGCTTTTGCAAATGCCCGGGACAAGCTGCTGTCCAGCTGCGCGCCTCGCCCTCTGGCAGCGGGATGCATTTTAATCAGCTAGCTCTAGCTCTCTGGGAGAAGGACTTATTTGTGGGGCTGGAGCAGATGGCCCCCGCCCCCAGCACCCCAAGATCCCTATGCCTTCCGCTCCCGGCAGGTGAGGCCTGGTGATGTCACTGCAGGTGTGGACTCAGGTCCCAGCTCAATCTAGACACCCAGTGTCTGTTGGCTTGGCGCTTCCTGTATCCTGGCCCACAGCTCTTTAGAGTGGACTGTACAGAACACGGCACTGCGCCCTAGGTCTGGAAGCTAGAATCTTGTAGATACTGGGAAAATACCACTAGATTTGATGACGGGTGCCTTGAGCAGGTGTCCCCATTCTGTCCACAGCCAGATAATTCTTGAAATAACCCAGCTTCTAGAACCTTAGCCATCTTAGTGCATCCCAAGGGAGATCTGGGCACCCCAGTCCCTGTGCATGGAAACCTCCAAGACACAGTGTTTCTGTCTGCAGATGTGGCATCCATCTTCCCAGGACTGGGGCGCAGGACCTGACTGTCCACCGTGCAGTCCAACTGTCTGCTCTTTGGATGGCTAAGACATTTCCCTGTGATGTTTTACCTTCCTTAAATAGGAAGAGCAGCAATTTATAGTTTCCAATGCAACGGTTCAGTTAGTGCCAGGTGCCTTAACTTCATTTACTGCCCTCCACACTGAGATAGTCTAATCCTTGTCTTCGGCGATGATCAGGCACAGAGACTCGCCACAGTGCATGAGCACTGGGAGGGCTGTGCTTGGGACCAGGCAGACTGCCCCACCAGGCCCCACTACCTTGCACATACTTGTACACTTTGTCTGATGGAAATTTCTGTGAGGACTGGACTTTGGTATCCTTCATTTTAGGTCCCCTTAAATTGCTTAACATTGCAGATACGTGGCACAAAAGTTTGGAAAGAGGACACACCTGTGAGTGTGTCCTGATCACTTGCCCCAGGTTCCCACATGGGATCTTCCTGATCACATATCTGACTTTGCCTCCTGGCTAAGGATATGCAGTAGTAGGTTTGGGCTGTATTGGACATTCAGAAAGGAGCAAGGAATCAAAGCTTCTACTGCTTAGAGGCCTCCTGTATTGATCTAGATCATGGTCCGCTTCAGAGTTGGCCTCTTCCAGGGTCAACGAACTTGCACTAAATTGTCGTCCTCTCTTATCTTCTTGCTCAAATGATATGATCATTCTGGGAGTCACACTATTCTGTCTTTTATTTCAACATTGCTCTCCTATTTTTGATAAATTTTTATATTTTTAATACAATATTTTAATTCTTTTAAAAATACTGTTTTTTTTTTTGTGTGTGTGTGTGCGTGTGTGTGTGTGTGTGTGTGTGTGATTGTATTGCTTGCATGTGTACAAACGCACCTATGTTGTGCATTGCCCTCAGAGGTCAGAAGAGGGTGTGAGATCCCCTGGAATTGGAGTTAAGGATGGTTGTTAACCACCACGTGGGTGCTGGGATTCCAACCTGGGTGCTCTTCAAGAGAACAGCCAGAGCTCTTGACTACTGAGTCATCTCTTCAACTCCTATTAATTCTTTTAAAAATAATATGTTCATCCTTTGAGAATTTCATACACTGGATTTTTATCATATTTAGACCCATCCCCATCACCTCTCAGTGGACAATCATTGTTATCCATAATTTAGAAACCAGAAACTGACATAAAGTAAAAATGCACATGAAAAGCAGAAAATGCACATTTGTTCTATTATGATGGTGGCAAAAATCTCAGAGTCCTAACTTGGCCTGATGTTCTGTTTTATTTAGAACCTGTGACATCATCCTTTATAAATTTGAATTAATCAAAAGTACTTAAAGTTGGGCTATTTCACTTTTTAAAAATCCAGACTTGCAGTCTCTCTAGATGAATGCAAACATGGTGGATTCATTTTCACACAGTCATAATCACTCATGCAGATTCCCCCACTACTCCGCATCAAAGTAAGCTCTCTCTTGTGTTCAACTCTACCCTTAGCCTGTTTACCCTGATTTACAGTATCTCTGTCTGGCTTCTGCAGGCATTGACTGCCTGGTTAAGCTTCCAGAAACAACAGCACCCCTGCCAATGGAGCAGGGCTGATAAACAGCTCCTCCTGTGGGATGGTCACAAATTCTCCTTTCCATCAGAAGCTGTGTCCTGCTATCCTTAATCTCTGCATCCTGGCAGAGATTTCAAATGCCAAGGAGATTATCACAGAAGTCTAAGGATGACTGAGCATAGGAAATACCATTAATTATGAAAAGCCCCATGAACACTTCCAGAGATTCAGAAAGATAACGTCCAAAATGCTGGGGACAGTGAAGGAGGAGGCAGGGCTTCATGAACCAAAGGGAGTGTGGTGGGGAGATAACATCTGTCTAGACCTGATGTGGCCTTGTAGCACCTTGAAGGATCTGGCTTTTGCTTGGAGTGAGACCATATGAGGCAAGCAGAATACTGCCTTACAGAATTACCATTGTCTGCCGAGAATGCATAGAGGTAAGTGCTGGAAATTGATCAGGAAGCAGTTGCAATAATCTGGGTGAGAGATACTTGTGATTTGAGTCAGGAGTAATGTTAGGGAGACAGGATTAGTTTCTGGCTTCATTCTGAAGGGTTTATTTTCCTTGTGATAAACTCAGAATTTCATGTGACTTTAAAATACATAAGCTAGAAGAATGGAATTTCCTTGTCTTCAGGTCCTGAAGACTGTGGAAAGGAGCAGATCTGGTGGGACAGAGAGCAAGACTTCGGCTTTGCAGATAGTTATTTAATTCATAGGTATCAGCAAAGAGACATTAAGTGAGCAAGTGTTCTATGAATGTAGACTGTAGAGGTCAAGTCCAGGCTGGAGACAGTAATCCTGAGAAGCCCCAGCTGGTTACTCCCTGAGTAGAGATGCAGGAAAAAAAGCGATCTGAGGACCCACCAGCATTTAGAAACCTGAGAGATGAGAAAAAGCCAGGAGAGCAGACTGAAGTTCAAGAAAGTCTTATGCTATATATTAGCAATTCTTTATAAATATCTTCAGGTACCCTCACTTGTACACACGGTAATATAAATGTACATTATTTATTCACAGAATATCTTTTTTAGAATATAGACTAATGGAGAGGGACCAGATATTCAGTGACATAATATAGGATACTGTTTGTCACAATGCTAAAAGTTATAAAATATGGCAAAATGGTTGAGTTTCTAGTGCTATTATGAATAAATTTAAAAAGACAGTGTTGAGCATAAACAGCAAGATTTACCATCATGTGTTTATGTGATATATTTTATATGAAATTTGAAACCATTCCAAACAGTATCACGCATTGCTTATGGACATGTGCACCTGTGTATTACCAGTAAAACTTGTACTTGGGATGCTATGTGTTCTTGGGATAGAGGGTAGGAGTAAATGTCTATACCACTGATAATACATGCTGCCTGCTAATCCTCTTGTGAATATCTGAAATAGTTTATGTAAAAGGGCATCTTGCCATCCCACTGCCATGAAGCTTAAAATATTAACATCAATTGAGGGCCCATAGCTTAGGTTGATGTATATCACCAAAACACAATGAAAGAGGAAGACAGGGCCAGGGGTATGGCTCTGTGGGTAAAAGTGCTTGCTGCACAATCCTGAGGACCTGAGTTTGAATCCCCAGAACTCACTAAAGAAAGCCAGATGTAGTAGTGCCAGCATCTGTAATCCCAATAGACCTGTAGGGAGTTGAGGGCAGAGACAGGAGAACCTCCAGAAGCTTGCACGCCAGCTAGTCTGGCTTAGGTGTCAACAAAGAGACCCTGTCTCAAAACAAGTTGAAAGACTAAGACCAACGCTCAGTGGTTGAACACACATGCACTGTGACACACAGTTACCCATATCCATACACAGGAATAAGCACACACATACTCACCTCTCTCTCTCTTTCATACACTCCCTTCCCCCAAAAGTAAACAGTCATAATAATAACAAAAATATGTGCTCTGAACTTTCATAAGTCCTTCTTATACCTTATGCTATTAAATCCTCACAATGATGCGCAAGTAGAGTTGAATATTGTCCCATTTCTGCCAAGGAAACTAACGCCTAGAGAGGATAAATAAACCCCATATCTCACAGCTAATAAATGACAGATCCTGAGTCTGTCCTGTCAGTGTTTGTCTTTCAGGAAAACATTCCCCTTTCAAAGCTTCTCTCCATGGTGTGACTCACAGCACGTGCTTGGCTATTGTCTACTAAATGGAAGCCAACCACCAGAACCCAGAGCACATGGAAAGGCCAGAGGGATGACAGGACAGCTGACGAGGGCTTGTGGAAATAATGGCTCCCTGGTTCCTCTTCTGTCTGAGGTACTGGGCCATCCAGTAGCAATGCACAGCCAGCCTTCCTTCCCAAGTCCCCATGGTGGTGAACCTATCCTTGCTCTTCTTTCTTCGCTTTGCATGTGGCTTTATAACAGGAAGTATCATGGTGTCCCACACTTCCTCTGATGGGAAAATGAATTTAATTCAATTGAACTGAACTTAGAATTACAGATGGGAACAGCCTGAGAACTGTATTTCACACTTTTCATCAGACAGACTGAAAGGGAAAGGCCAAAGAAGTTAAAGGACTGCCTCTCTACAGAGTCCTTCATTACTGGAGCACAGGGGGTCGCAATTTCATTTGCACAGTGAAACCACCTGGGGAGCTTTAGCATCGCCACAGCTCTGGCCACAGTTCTGGATATTCTTATTTAATTGGTCTGGTGTGAGACTTGGCCTTGAGACCCTCTTAGGCTCTACAGATGTTCCTCCTCAGCAACCGTGGCTGAGAACTGCCTGTGAGAACTCCCCTGCTAGCTCTCTTATACTGACTTTGATCTATGGGCTAGGGCCATATTTTAGGTTTTGCCACTGTGCTGGTAGAAAACAAATTGAGTAGTGTTTGCTCTTTAATAAAACCTACTGAGGCTCATAAGCATTTCCATCTTAAACCCCACATGGATCTTCTCACTTGCTTGTTTCCTTCAGTGCATTTTTCAAATTTAATTTTTTTTTATGTGAGCGTGGTATGCCTGTTTATATCTATGTGTGCTCACACATGTAGGCATGCACCTGTGTGCAGTTGCTTGTGCACATGTGTACATATGCATACGGAGGTCTACAGTTGATGTCAAGAATCCTCCCCTGTCTTTTCTCTCATTCTCTGAAGCAAGGTGTCTCAATTAAATGCAGAGCTGGCCCTTCTGAGATGGCTAATCTGTCTAGACAGCTTGCTTCTGATATCCTTCTCTCTACCTGAGAGACTAGAATTACAAATGGGTTGCTATGCCCACCAGGCATTTTACTTAGCTTCTATAGGTCTGAATTCTGGTTCTCCTGTTTGCAAGGCAAGTGCTTTACCAGCTGAGCCATCTTCCTAGGTCCTCTTCAGTGACATTTTAAGAGGTAAAAGAAATAAGGAAGCATTGATTTTATGGTCTATGAATGGAATATATTTAGATTGGTAAGGATTGAATTCAGTTCTATTCCAAAATTCTGCAAACACCCAACTCAAGCTAATAAAATAGCTGTTTTGTTTAAAGTAACGGTCTTCAAACTTTGAGAAGGGCTAGAAAGTAAATATTTTAAACTCTCTGGACCATATGGTCCCCCCTGGCAGCTACTCTGCTCTGCCCTTGTAGTATTGAGATAAGCAGCCACAGATAGACGTGAACAAATGGGTGTGGTTGTGTGCCAGAGAAATCGTAATTAGAAACACAAGGACTGGGCTGGATCTGGCTCATGGCCATAGCATGTCATGTCTAAAGGGTCAGAGTGAAAGTATTGTCTCTGCACCATGACCCAGCTCTAAAATAAAGCACCAAATATAGTTTAAGTCATCTTGGGTTACAGAAGGTTTCTGAAATAAAGAGAAATCTCCAATTGTGTTTTAATATTTTAGTACTATCCAAAAGTCTGCAGAACCCTCAGATCTTGATTCCAATGCCTTCTGATCACCTTTATATTGTTTTTGGGCAACCTAGCTTTAGTGAAATTTACAAACATAAATCTCAATTTTAAAAAAAGAGCAGAAATTGGCAGCTAAACTCCAGAAGCAGTCAAGCAATTACTTGGAAAATGGAAGGGCTGTGAACAGTAGTCATTTCGTGATTTCGGTTTTTGATTGCTTCATTACAGAACACACACGCATCAAACTTTCACAAGAGTTTAGTTGCATCATTTGAATTGTGGGTCTCGGTTTCAGCCTTAACCACTGCTGCTCCTGTAAAGCCAGTCTTCCTTGATTTAGGTCTTCGAGCAAACAGAGAGAACAGTTGCTAGAATGAAAACGATGCCCGTATTATCATTACAGTAAGGAGCTGGGAGAAGAGAAGGAGCCTCAGTTCAGCTCCCAGAAGCCTGGGGCATACTCAGAGCATTTCCTGGCCACACAGGTCACTACCACAGACACGATGAAGCAGGTTTGGAATAGAATCCTGCTACCGATTTTCACCGTTCTCAGCAATTAATAAAATACCAAATGTTATGCTGCTAGGCAAAGGTTAGTGAGTCGTTGAAAAGGGGCTGCACATAAGGAGCTGTCTGCCAGGAAGCCTCCCACAGGAGTTTCAGAGTGAAAAGGAGAGAGAGAGAGAGGGAGGGAGGGAGGGAGGGGGTCACAGCAAAATCCACTTCCCAGATTTGGGAGTTTTCAGGGGGCTTCATTCCCTGACTCTATGTGGGCTAGAAAGCAGATCCGGAGTGAGGCTATACCATCATCATCAGGCTACGTATGAACAGTTGAGGACCCCCTAATAACACGAGGGAGCAGCTGTCAATGCTGCCCTATCCTTGTCCAGAAGAATGTGAGAAAACAAACCAATATTCTGCCATGAGGGAGACACTAGCTTCCAGGGTTGCCACAGAAATATTCTTGAAATATCTTCTGGGATACTGTGGTGAGCAGTGTCTGGACATTATTCAGGGCCAAAAATTTGCCCTGGGGCCAAATTCTCCCCTTACATATGCCAGTGTGGTGGACATTACTGTGTTTGCTTGCTTTGCTCTCATTTTTCACAGGCAGGAGGCAAGTGATTCGATCTAGATCACTGAGCAGGTAACAAGTCTCCTCTAGCAGGCTCACTTGGGGGCAGGGGGCAACTGGTCTGAGGATACATTGGTATAATCCACACGAAAACATTTTGGTTATGTGGATAACGTGACCTAAACACACTGTTGCCCTAAAAATTCCAGTTCTAAGAATCAGTCCCAATGGCACACAAATGCATAGGTTGTTTACCACAGCAAAATAGAAATCATCATCTAGAAAGTAGGAGAGGCAAGTGCTGTACGAGTTCATGAAGGAATGCTGTCTTCTTACATGAGATGGTGATTAGCAAAACTACCTATGCTGTAAGGTTTTCTGGAAACATAGAATTCAAATTTTGAACAGTATATAACTTAAATCTGGTGGAACACCTACACAGAAGGAAAGACTTGAAGGGAATTTACTGAACATTGCTAAGCATTTATGAAGTTAGACCACAGAAATGAAGAATGACATTTTCTTCCCTTTCTTTACAACTTCCTGATAATTTGGAACAGATAGATTTGAAAATGAAAGGTTCATATAAAGCTAAAAAGAAAAAAAAATATTGACTTATTAATGTCATTGACACTTAAATAGACCCAAGTTAGCATGCTAAAATAGTCTTTCTTCTTTTTAAGCTTGTTTCTCTTATTTTGTTAAGTTTATTAATGAAAATCTTGCATGAAAGTCATTTCTCAGCTTAGCCTAGAAGGGCATCTGGGTCTTTAAAGAAAGGGCTTCGAAAGCCCCAGAGAAGTCAAACCCACAGTGACCTCTAGAGTCATGCTACAGGGCTCAAGTTTATTTTTGGGATTTCCCTTTTTTCTTCATGAAACAATGTAAATGCTTACAAGTACTGCCAGGCTCAGATAAATTAGTATTAGTTCCTTCTAAAACCTCGGGTCTCACCTTACAAGAATGGTCCACTACACGTTGCCATACCTAACAGGGACTTCTCCCACCCGACCCCCCAACATGAACTGGAACCTCACTGAAATTCTTCAGAGTGTTCTAGGCTCTCTTTGGCTCCAGAGTGTATCTATCATCTGCCATTTCTTCTGTTTGGAGCCCCTTGGCTCCCCACTTCACCCTCAGCAAATCAGCTCTTCTCATAATTACAATCCCTTCCTGCAGAAAGTTTACTCTAGACCCCAATCTCATTGGACAATCTCTCAGCCCTTGCCAAGATCTCTGTTCTTGGGGCTTTTGGTGTGTTGTGAGGCACATGCTCGGTAGACCAGTCTTTTGTTGAGGACAACCTGGAAAATACTATGAGGCAGTGTTCTAGGAATCCCATTTTATTGTTCCTAATTGGTTTATTTGCAGTCCAGAAGCCAGCAATCTGCACTGAGTATTTCTCAGAAGCTAGATGTGGATACAGGAAGCTGCAGAGTTCAGTATCAGCCTGTGCTACAGAAGGAGAAATTTCTCCAAGAATGAAACAAATGGTTGGTTCAGAATGCCTGTCTCTCCCAAGGACAAGTTCAATTCATTTCCAGAGAAAAGGAAACACACTACAGAGGATGGAAGTGGAGTGCCAAGAAGCTCTTAGACCTATTAGTTAGGACTCCAGCTTTTTTATTTAAACAGTGTTTGAACAGGTGACTGCTTATGACAACTTGTAGCATGAGTTACAAGTTGTTACAGTTTATTTATAAGTCAAGTTAGATGACTGTGTATGGCGACGCCTTGAGAACAAATTTAAAATAGGTATGGCAGCATTTTTAGGCCAAACAGTGAAAGTAGCATAGATTACCCATTCGTCTCAACTTGCTGATAACAGAAGAGGCCAGCAAGGCCCTGCTTTCTGGTGGTTTGTGACAACATGACAGCACAGTTCAGTTCACAACTACGTTTCATTTAAGAAGCATGGCCTTTGATACTGAGATGTGAGGTAGACTTTAGCCTGAATTGTCTGTGTGCCACAGGCTCCCAAGGTGAAGGACTCAGAAGCAGAACAGAGCACAGCACCCTAGGCATTCATAAGGTCGAGTCTTTAAAGCAAAAAGCATCTGGCAGTTCCTGAATGACTTGACTTCAATGGCAGCTTTCTTCATGTGAGGCATAAACCACCCACTATACACACGTTTTCCTTTCTATCGAAATGTCTCACTTCACAAAGAAGAGTTCCTATATTTCATCTGAGTTACTCTCTCTTACCGCTCAGTAAACATTTTCTGAGACAGACTCTCCACACGTAGCCTCAAGTAGACACTGGACTTGAGGTCCTCCTGCCTCTGCCTCCTGAGTGCTAGGATCACACCACACCCAGCTTTACAAAAACTTTTGTTTTATGTTGTTTTCTTTACAAACACACTTTTTGAAGGAATATGTGTTAAATTATCCCAACTTAAATACTTTTGGTAAATACCTGGAATATTTACCCCAGGCTGTTAAAATCCACCCATAACCAAGTGGGATACCTGCCCACCATAGAAAATAACTGCAGACATTTTCCTAGTGTGTGGCTCACTGCGTCAGGAAGAACGGAGAAAACACACCCTTTCTGTTAGCATCCACACCTTCCCTTCTTTCTCCTTCCTCTGTGGTTGAAAATTGTGACATTCCAGGTCAGGAATACATCACATCTTACAGGTACCTTGTATCCTCCCCCAAAGCATGCAAAATCTGTCCGTTGTTAGATAGAGAATTAGAGAAATCTATAGCATATAGAGTGATTGAAGTACATAGCGCTTTAGATGAATTAACTGAATAAAGATTTTTAAAAGAACTGTCTCTGGACTTAAACACTATATATATATATATATATATATATAGAGAGAGAGAGAGAGAGAGAGAGGGGGGGGGGAGAGAGATTTAGAAAGACGTCAGACACTTTGAAAGCCTCCCTGATGAGGGTTTGTTTTCAAGTCTCTTTCCTCTTATTTCAAATCACTTTTTTTCGTAAATCAATAATATCCATTACTGTATGCTTCTGCTCTCTGGAAAATGCAAGGGAACCAGGGGAGAACATAGACATTCACCTGCTTCATAGCACCCTTGGATTCAGGGGACACGCAGCTTTCATTCTGGAGCTGTTTTCTTTAATAAATAAGGAGGAGGCTACACAAGTGGAGGGCCATAGCCCTACTCACTGAAATGAAAGATTGTTATGCAGAGTCTGTTTACGCAAGCAATGTATGTTAAGAGCTGTTTCTATGACTTAGGCATTTAATTCCCCTGATTATGGGGAAAATCAAAAAAGAAAACCCACCAAATTGCTAAGATTTTTACCAATACAGTGATTGGATTGATTTCCCCAAAGGACTTTCTATTAATGTATCTGAGCTAGACACCATTAAAGCCAGTTCCAGGAGTGGATCAATGGATATTTCATCAGTGTGAGCCCAGCTGCTAGAAAGCAGACAGGCCTGCCTTCCACCCTCCATGCACTGAGAGTTTTTGTTGACATGAGAAAGTGAATATGCCTTCCAGAATGTGATCCATTTTGGAATTTTATCCTAGTGTGTGTGTAGGTATGTGTGTGTGCGTATATGTGAGTGTATGTATTATATTCATGTGTATGTATGTTTATGTGTGTATGTACATGTCTGTGCTTGGGTATGTATGCATGTGTATTTGTGTGTATGTTTACATGTGTGTATGCATGTGCATGTGTGCATATGCATGTATGTGCGCAATGCAGTGTCTTCTTCTTGTTGCGTTTTTCCCCTTCAGAGGAGAACTGCCATGCAGTGTCTCAGGTGGCCTGACTGCTGCAACGAGAAAGTTTTGTGTGGTTTGTCTTTCCACCCACGCACAGCACGCTTTGTAGACTTGACAGGGATGGATCAGCTCTGCAGAGGAACAAACAAAAAACCAAAAATACCCCTCCTCCAAAAAATACCCCACAGTGTGAAACTTTCTGAGAAAGACTGCCCTATTTCTTTAAAGTTGGAAAAATAACAAAAATAGAACTTTCTTGTTTATTCAGATGATGATATCAGTTCTGTTTCTAGTGCAGCCGCTGTAGCTGCTACCCAGAGATTTTTAGAAAGTTGGATCAATGCGAAAGCACTGGGTTTTTGCTATGAGTGAGTCGTGCTGCTCACATAGCTTATTAGAAGGTAAATACATAATTACATGGCACACTCATGTAAAAGCAATAAACTTTATAGGAGTATTTGTAAAGCAATGTGTTTACATCAACGGTGCAATCCAAGCAACAAATAATAATAACATTGTGAGGGAAATTAGCTCCTTAGATGCATAACATTTAATATGTGGGTCTGTATAATTAATATCCTGCAATTTAAAGTGTTACTCATTTTCTTTTATCCCTCCCCTTGACTCTGAAGAAAGAAACAGAATTTGTTTAATTTAATATGGCATTTCACAGCAGCATGGAGCCAAAATATATCCTGCTGGATTAATCTGATTTCCCACCCCATAAATCTGAAGGCAGGCACCGGTTTATTAACCCCCAGAGTGCTCTCGGAGCATTTGTCATTGTAGTTACCAACCCGTCACTGTCTGCGTCTTCGTGCCTAACACGTGCTCTTCCTCTTTCTGATCACTTTACGGATGGGCTAATTTTTCTCCCCCAGGGATAACTGACAAAGCCTGGAGTCATCTTTGACTGCCACAACTCGAAAAGTAGGGTGTTCTATGAATTCCTGAGGTAAGGCTGGGACATCTGAAAGGCAAAGCCTCTCCACGACATGGAATCAGTCAGCTGAAAATGTCAGCCGTGCTAAGGCTGAGAGGCTGCATCAGTTCACTGATCTTTGCAATCATCCCCAAGGTTGGTATTATCATTTCCCTCGCTTCATGGATGAAAAACAGTTCCATAGGCACCCACCGGGATGAACTGCAGGGCACAAAGTGAAGGAGTTCCAGCGTGGCTCAGGATTTAGAAAGTAGCCCCTCTACCCTGCCTTAGACTTTTGCTTGTATGCTTAAATTTGCTATAGGACATACATGCTGTTCAAAAGCCTACATATATGTATGTGTGTGCATGTGTGTGTGCACATGCACATGTATGTGTGTGCACCCACAGTTGTCTGTACATGTGTTGAAGGGAGAAAGGGCTGTCCTAATATTCATAAGCTTATTCCAGAAAATGATCTTAGGACCTAGTCAGTCCTGACTTGCTAACTTCATGCCAACAAAACTTACTTCTACCTATTTTAATTTGGAAAATACATACTGGTTCCCATGGCCTCTGTTAACAAGTAAGTTTATTGGGAAAGCTTATCAGCAGTACTAAAAGGTTCCTTGGGAGCATGCTGGGTTGCCCTAGAGGCCTGTCCTTGTCTCTGGGGGGAATCAGGCCCCTTATGGTGGGACTTTTCAATTGACACCTCGTGCTTACCAGATTCAAGGGACCTCTTCTGTTGCTATGGGAGCTGTCAGCATTCCTCAGAACATTCAAGGACAGGACATCTTGAGGCTAGAACTACAGAGGAGAGCTCCCATGGAAGGGCTCCCTTGGAACCATCTGCACAGACAGAAGGGAAGACAAGAGCAATTTGATACGCGCTCACCCTGTGCCCCTCTTCCACAGTGCCACCCATGTTGGTAAAGCCTCTGCTTTTCTCTAAAGCCTTTACGATCCGGAACACACAGAGAAGGGGTCCTTCCTCTACACTATTTAGCTGTCACTGTCACCACTTAATAAACAGTTAAAAGTCAGTGACTCAGCTTGCAGGTGCCAGTTTGGCCCGGGTAACTGTCAAACGAACCCATCCCAGCTAATTTTGGTCTTTAGCAGCCACACTCAGGATGCCTTGAGGCAGGCATGATGCCAGTGCAGCCTGGCACTTTCCAGGACCCAAGAGGACAGTCAAAGTGCATGCTGGGCACTAGGTCCCAATGCATCAGATGATAGTGCCCAGGTGTCAGTGATGTGGGAAGAGGACACAGGTAAAAGAGCTCAGTGGCTCTGTGTTCAGGAGTAAGTTCTACTCTGGGCTCCAGGCAGAACAGTAAAACTCCCTCTCCAGCCTTTAGAGGCAGAGCCCCTTGCTGAGGCATGTCATGTATCTCATGGTACATCTTTCAGATCTCTCCCACACACACTGTAAAGAGAGATTGGAGAAGGTGTGGTGACACATAACAGAATTCATGCATCGCTCAGCCACCATGAGTAAGCTCATTAGTCCATTCACTCCCTAAACAATGTGCTTCTTTCTGAGTCACCTAGTTTAGTCACAGACCATCCACATGTGGTTGAGGGTCACATCTGTCCATCTCCAGTGACATTATGGAGGCCAGCATCTGTTGATGAGCATCCTCAAGCATTTCCAAATATATTTTTATTTGTTCTTGGAAAGTGTCATACAGATCTACCATGTATTTTTATGAACTTTAACAAACCTAGCAAGAACTGTCCCGCAGCATTCAAACAACCCTTTACCCAGGTGCTCACTGTGAACCAGGCTCTGGGGACACTTGAGTCTCTGAGTCCAAAACAGTCATGAGAAACAGCCATTTGCAAAATGACTTGATTTACAAGATGAGATGATGGAGGTGATGCTTTGAGGGAAGATGAGGAAGTACTCCCTCACTTAGGACAGGATAGAATATTTAGAGTGGGCAATGGGGAAATGAACTGATGAGTATGTATTTACTTATTACCTTGTAGTTGGGTGGCCAGGAAAAGCTATCCTTTGATTGAGTTATGGAGGGCTTAGGAAGCACTGGGGCCATCACCCCCACCCTTTCTAGCCTTTATTTAATTCTATGTTTATCATTTCAGTTTATTCTTCTCCTGAGCTTAATTTAGGATGATATTGCCTTGGTTCTGCTCTTTTGTTTTGAAAGTGTTAATAAGGGTTTCTCTTTTCTCTTTTGACTCAGATGATGTACCGTCTCTTTGGAAGTCCCTCTGGAGGGCCTGAGATCAGGGAATCTGTGCAAAGTGTACCTTTTGATGGACATACTAATTTAGATTTGTATTGCATTGTAAGAATTAAATTATTATTGTAAAAACTGTTTCATCGCCATATATTGTTATTAATCATTGGAAGACTATTTACACACAGAAAAGTAAGAAATAAGCACGTTAGGTTTTATTTCCATCTTTGATGAAATGCCACCACAGCCCTTGGTATCACTGTACAGCATCTGCCCTTCCTCCACTGGCTTCCTGGCAGGACCCCACCACCTGCTTGCCTAGTGCCCTGGACTCACTTCCACAGAGCCCTATCCATGCCATAGCTCACTGTGTGTGTGTGTGTTTTTCTCTCTGATAAGACTTGCGCTCCAGAGAACAGAAGTGAATCTAGTTCGTGCGGCATTCTGCACTGGAGCAAGGTTAATGGGAGAAATTCATTTCAGCATTTGTGTTGAACTTAACTAATCTACGTAGGTTTCTGTTAGTCGTCTGAGCAGCCACTCTGAGACAGCAGTACAAGCCCAGGGCCCACGAGCTGGGTGATCTGCTCCCATGTTGTCCAGGAAGGCAATGAGAGGCTGGAATTAGATACATCCAAATAAAACCCTTATTAGGCTCAAAGGATTCATCAAGATTTGTGAACCAGTCTTCAAACGGCAAATTAGACTTTCACCATGATCTGCCTCTCACTTGTGTGCTGAAAGCCTAACTGGTACCTAACACTGGAGGAAGTTAGTGGTAGCAGGGGCCTTCAAGTACCTTTGCCCAGGGCTCCAAATCTCCTTCTCTTGTCCTATTAAACCAGGCAGAGCACATGTCAGTGAGCCTTGATAGGTTCTCATCCAGGAGTTGCTTCTGCATTTGTGATCTTTATGTTTTAGGTGTTTTGTAAATAATCACTACGTAGATGCCTTCTTTGTCTTCTTTATAAAACTTTCCTGTGGGATCCAGTAAGATGACTAAGCAGGTAAAGTGTTTGCCACCAAGCCTGATGAACCAAGTTCAATCCACATGACCCACATAGTGGAAGGAGAGAAGGGGCTTCTGCAAGTTGTCCACCTACAGACACACACATACACACACACACACACACACACACACACACCACACAGGCCATGACAAGCTCACTGCCACACAGATAACACATAAACTCACAGATACACATGAATAAGTAAATAAATAAATAAATAAATATGATGAAATTTTTATGCTTTACCTCACTGAGTATAACTCCTGGGAACAATGATTTCGAAAGAGTAGAAATGTGCTGTGGGTTTCACCTGATAACTAGCAGTTATAAACTTACACCAAGACCTTTAATCTCTGTGGGCTTTACTCTGTTGTCAAAGACCAAAATAAGAATTCCCTCTCTTGTGAAATCAGAGAAAAATGATATATAAAACAGTGCACATGGCCAGCATGCAATTAAATATAATGTCTTATTATGCTTTTGTTCAGCTGCAAAGCCAATTATCCTTTTAGTCAATATTTAGTAGCAGATAACAAAGTGAGCTGAAAAATGCCATTTTCTTTTCTTCTGGCTGCTGTGAGACTCAGCAGGGATGCTCCATCCTCAGCTCCGGCAGCCATGAAAGTTGGGATGTTTAGTGCAGTGTGTTTTTCTTGCTCTCACAATATTTTTGTTTTTATTTTAAATTTGGATTTTTGAAGTCAATATTTTATTGTTAAGAAATTATGGAAGAAGATGAAGTATTCTATAAATATTATTTTGCTTATAGAAACAAATACAAATATGAAGTGCAAGCTGTTTGTCATTTACAATTTATAAAATTTTTAGAATAGGGAAATAATTCAAATAAAGTAAAAGTGTAAATAAGCATTTGAATGCATAAATGCATATATACACACATACACAGACTTATACATATAAATATATACACATACATACATACATGCATATACACATAAACATACCCATACACATGCATACACACATATACATACACACATATATATACACAAACATACCAATACACATATACACATATACATAACACACATACACTTGTATATGTACATGCACACATGCACACACTTACACACAATGTACATACATTGTGGGTACATACACAGATGTATGTACACAAAGGCACACACAGACACACACATGCATGTCTGTACACATACATACATATAGACACATAGAGAGATACACGTATTCATATGCATGTACAGATGTACACATACATATACACATACACACGCACACACAGAAAGCTGTCTGCTAGTAAACTTGGCAGCCAGATTACCAAAAGCAGAGCAAAATCCACACTCCATATCCTTTATGTATAGGGACTATCAATTCTCCTGGTATAAAGGCTTTTGCCAAGACTAATTATAAACTATCGACAGTAAAAGGCCCATCTTAAGCAGTTCTTGAGGGATGCTGCCCACAGACTGAAGCCCTATGGGGATGGTCAAGGAGATTGCTGGAGTTAGGACCAAGGAAAGAGGACTTCAAGTTGCTAAGGAAGGCAAAAGAACATTCTAATTCAGCGTATAAGCATGTAGCTCATCTGGTAGAGTACTTGACGAGCACGAAGCCCTGGGTTCATCTCCAGAACTTCCTAAATCAGGCCTGATGGCGCATGCCTGGAATCCCAGCACTCAGAGCTAAGAGTGGAGATAAGAAGATTGGAGGTACCAAGTCATCTTCTAGCACATAGGGAAAGCCTGGGATACATGAGATACTATCTAAAAAATGTATTTAAAGAACATTGAAAGCTTTTTGACAATAATCAGAGTTTATTCAGTGTCTAAGAATTAGAATTTCCTGTCCAAAGTACATTTTTCTTTCTAATTCTTTATGGAATATACATTTGATTTCTTTTTACTTGATATAGCCAGATCCTTTTGTTTAAAAAAATGTTTCCCAAAATAAACTTTAATACAATCATGTTATAGAACATTTCTGAGCAACCAAAGAAGATTCTACTTTAATGTTTCTGACAGAATTTTCTAATAACGAAACATGACAGAATTTTCTAATAACGAAACAATTAAAATGATGAAATGCCCACCTATAGAAAAATGATTTAAAAATCTATGGGTTATATGACATAGAATAAAATGGATCCGCAGAAATATATGGTATATTGATATAGAGTGTCTTAGAGTCATAATGTGAGAGCGAACATCAAGAAACAGCAGAGCCTAGGGCTGGGGAGATAGATTAACAGTGTTAAATCACCTGTTATGTAAGCAGGATGACCTGAGTTTGAATCCCCAGCACCCACATAAAAGTCAGGCCTGGTGGAGTGCTTACATAATGTAACCCCTGTGCTGGTGGGTGGAGACATGTGGGTCCTGAGGGCTCACTGGCCAGCCAGTCTATCCAAAATGGGGATTTCAGGTACAGGCGCAGAAACAACTGAGAAAAACACCAGGGTGTCAATATCTGGGCTTTGAGGGGCCCCATGGGGGAATGTGACTGCATATACCTCCTATGAACACACACACACATGCACACTCTACAATGATGTTTATGTAATGTGCACATAACAACAGGCATTATAAATACACAGGAAAGACGTCCAGAGGAAAACATCTAATTGATGAGAGAAATGACTTTCCTCTAGGATGCTTATATGTTTGGAAGGAGGTAGGCTGAGTTTCAGAGTGGAGACCAAAGGCAAAGAAACTTATGATACTTAAAATTCTTATCACAACATAGCATTTACTTATGTATTAATTGCATGACCAGGAAATGAGTCAAAAGAGAAGAGTGAGGGTGTTGGAAGTCTCATGCTTACTCCGCTGTAATAGGAACAGGAGAAGAAGCCTAGCCTACTGGGTCACCGAGGGACCACCTCATCCCAATAAAAAGCTAGGTCGGCCTGAGATTGACCTCTGCCCCCCCGTGCACTTGCACACATTACACATATCCTTGCACAAACATGTACTCCACAAGAACATAAACCCACATGCACACACACATACACAATCAGAAATTTTATATAATAGTTTTCTTCAAAGGTGCTTAGTGTACATTTTATATTTAGTATTAATAATTGGACATCTTACATATCATTTTATCCCATATTTTGAAATGTTTTCTTAGGACAGATTTTATGAGCAATTATGAATTCCATAGCCCATTTTTGAGGAACTTAGTTTATCTGCAATAATGAAGGTTACCTGTGCTAAAACTCAAAAAGATGCACAAACATGGCAATTCACTTGTTTACTCTACTTTTTTCTTTTTTGAGTCATGGTCGCTGGCCAAATTCCAGTAGAATAAGAAGACATGAACTTGGAGATAGGAGGAAAGTAATCATTGTTGTTCTTTGATCTGCCTCTGCAAGTGGCCATAGGGCACTTGGGGACTTGCCCAGTGCTTGGCCCAGACTAACTGGTGCCCAATGACTGGGAACTAAATTAAACTGAAGATAAACAGGGGGCATGTAAGCAAAGCCCTGGTTAAAAATTCAACAACAGGCAATGGATCCTCAGCAGCCCAGGTGGCATCTGACTAGGAATCTGGAGCTTTGCTGACAGCAGCTCTGCTCCCACAGGCACCATTGGGTGAACAGACAGACTCTGGAGTAGGAGATGTGCATCTGTCTGTGACTCTAATGCAACCGGGCTTCAAAGTCTTAGCTTACTCAGGGCAAGTCACAGAGAGCACACACAAATCTGACCATCGATGCATAGTGAGGATCTGTGTCTTGCACTAGAACATTTCGATGTGTTGACCCAACTTTTTTTTTGAAAGTTTCATACATGAGTATTATATCTGTATTATTTCCACCCCTCCCAATCCCTCTCCACCTCCTCCCAGACCCCCCTACATATTTTGTTTTATATATTTATTTCACCATTTTGTCTTATCTGTAAATGTGTGGGTCTGAGTGTATGAGCACATGAGTTCAGCACATGAGTTCAGGGGTTTGCAGAGGTCGGAGAAGGACTGTCAGATCCCCTGAACTGGAGTTATGGATAGTTGGGAGCTACCACGTGGTTGCTGAGTACTGAACCCTGGTCCTGTGTAAGAGCAACCAATGTTCTTAACTGCGGAGCATGTCTTCAGCCCTCAATGTCTCTATCTTATATTCAGTAGTCGTACCTG